TGGTTGTACTGGGCTGCTCTGAGGTATAAACATGTGTCAATGTAAAGCAGGAGAATGGAGGTAAAACTCTGCAAATCCTCCTGATAAAAAGAGGGAAAAGTTTTTAAAGCATAAAGCTCTGAATAGTAGAAAGACTTAACATCGCTACACTTGACAGAAATGCAAATGTCTGTCATAACAAATAGCAATTCAAAATCCACATTATCTGTGAAGTATACTTTTAGCGATCTATGTTTCCAAACTGCTTTCGGAGACTGTTTTTATATATTTCAGCCATTATGTTGAAATGATTCATACTTAATTATTATTATTACATTTTTGTGAGAAAATGTGACAGTGGCCATTTTGATGAGTAAATCTTACAGGATACAATACATATATTAAGCATCTCCCATCCATATGGAAGTAAATGGAAGAATAATGAAAGTGTGTTCAGTAAAGAAGAAACGTCCTCTAGTGTCCTCCAGTTTGACATGCTGGAGGTTAATGGAGTGTGATTCTGATTCTCAGTCAGCATATAGGTGTTGGTAAAGAATAGTGTCTCTATTGGTCTTGTTGACCTGCAGGCCCTGTGTACAAATATTGATTTGTATTCAGTCCGAGAAAAGCATACAACTTTGGGATAACACTTTCAGGTAAACACTCTGCACACCAGATATCGACTTAGTCAAGACACCTGAGACAAGGAGCTACAATCAGGAGTTCAATAAACGAGGACACAAAAACACCTTGGGGTTCTTCTTTCTTGTATGATGATAGGTTACCATTGTATATCTCATAACAAGGCTTACAAATCATTCACCAGGTAGTTCTACTAGGCACCTTCATGAGTTTTTTTTTTCCACTGAACATTTTGGTTCACTTGTGTGTACAAAATTGTATGTGTGACTTTCAGTCATCAAAATTAACCTTTTCAAAAAAGGTTGTGTTTCTCTTTTAAATGTTAGTCTCACTTACAGGTTCAAATTTAGCCAATTATAATATCTAACAACTTTTAAAAATGGAACTTGACACCTTTTTATCAGTAAAATTAAACAGCTTGTACCCAACAAGTCATTTCTGAGTCATAACTATTTTCAACCTACTATCTGCCTGGTATAGCTGAACTTAGGGAAAATGCTAATGTTGGCTTGTTAATACAGGATGACTCATTTAGAGCATGAAATATAGATGAGCGACCTGTGGCTTTTTTGAAAAGCTTAGTTAATATGTTCTAAAAGCTACCATTTGAGTAGTGCTACAGTCACACTTGAAGATTGTGCGGTAAGCATGATATCTTGTTGCCTTTGAAATGGTTCTTTCTGTCTGTGACCACTCACAGTCAGCTGCCATCTTCAAAGTGACTTTGGTGCGTGAAGGCCGAGATAACACGAGACCAGTCAGTCTGCTGTTAGGTTGTGATTGAATGGAGTCAAGTTTGCAATTATACAAAATCGGTTTGTGATAATACGGTCATTAACTGTGACAAATCAGCAGAAATAGAGCACTTAAAACTGAAATTCATAAATTCAATTCCACAAATAATGACGCAGTTGCTGTCAGTTGCAATTTAACTTCAAAATTACATAAAGATCACATAAATGCTCAGTAACCTTGTTGTTATGTACGAATATAACCAGAATACAACCAGTTGTCCCTCTACTGCAAAGAGATGCGTCTCAGACGAGTCCACTCTCATTCTGTCTGGGTTTATAGATTTTTATAAATGCATTAAACAGTCTTACAAATAATTATAAATAGTAATGGACGGTAACATATATAAAAATACAAAATGTTATAAATTGATAGCTTTTATTTAAAAATTAGAGACTGTTCATTTCTTTGTAAGTGGGCAAGTGGTGAATGGTGCAAATGTATAAATGTTTTCTTTATGTATCTAATTCAGTCTAAATATAGAATTAAGCTGTTAATTCTCTAAAGTGATTTACATCTCTCCTTTATTAGACTATGGATGGTAATATCTAATATTTACATTTATACAATTTAAAGTTACCTAGTTCTACAGTGCAGGCCTCATATTAGATGCAGTACCAAGAATGCATCCAGCATTAAAATTATTAATTAGAATTAAAATGTTGATTTTTTTTTTACCGTGTGCTAAATCCAAGGATTAACGGTTTTCTGCATCATATTATCTCAAATTATTCCAACCTCTTAGCCAGGTTTGTGTTCCTGGTTATATTTTTTTTAACTGTTGTATGTTTCTGTTTATAGATTTTTTTTTTTCACAATTTAATCACTGTTAGCTGATAACAGCTCTGATGGGAGGTGGTGGCACTCATAGTGGAAGAGTCATAGGGCACATGAAACGTACTTTTTTGATTGACTGCACACACAGCCTGAAGCAGAGAGCCCAGCTCAACACAGAAACCTGAAACATGTGAACTAGCTAGCAATGCTAGCAAGCCCAGTTAACGAGGTGTGATTGCCATCCAGCCCAAGCAAAGATATGATTATACTTACCAAAACTGAAGCAAAAGCTTCTTGGATGCGCTGCACTTCACAGCAAGACAGATAATTCTATTAAAAGGGACCAACACCACATTCCTGGTCCATTCTTTGAGGCGAGCTTCATTTTTCAACCCTGGAGGTTGCTGCTTGATCTGCACTATATGCCTGTAAGGGCAGCCAGTGTTGTCATTGATACTTTTGGGTATATTTTCTGAGACTGTGTCGTATAGTTTCCAAGACTGTCTTGTGTAGTTTTACAAAAGACTAATTTGAAAGTAGCTAATAGTCAGTAGTGAAAGAGCTAACACATAAACTTGGTGCATTTAATAGATATTCGAGAAGGTTGCAGATGAAGGACATATAGAGGAAAACAAACAGAGGCCTCTAACTCGGCAACTAAATTTGATGAAGTGTACAAACCAAAGGACGCTCTGAATAAATGCCCAGGAAGGAGTAGACTTTTGGCAAACTGACAAATCTTATGTCTCTTTGAAAACATCCACCAAGATTCATCTGCTACGTCAAGCTGACACACGGAGATTGTGTTTGACTTTCAAAGGAAATGTGCAATGAGCGCGCTACGGAACTAGGAGGTAATTAGTAAGACTTGAGCTGAGTTTTTTTTCTCGATACTTAAAATGCCACGCAGCACTCACAGCTGAAGGCACACAGATGTTGGAGCTGGTAAATGGAGTTGGGAAAAGAGCTTATTATGATTAAATGAATCTGATTGTGTTGTAACCCAGAGGTACAGATAGGAGGAACCATATGAGGGTGAATGCAGCTACAAGCTAAGAGGTTTTCCTAATGATGATTTCAGAGCCTATGCACGTCTGACTGTGGATTTTATTTTGTCCTAAGCACAGAAAATGAGCCCAAAAGAGTAGTTGACTGGCTAGCTTGCTGGCCTACTTGCTGGCCTGCTTGCTGGATGGATGGATGGATGGATGGATAGATCAGTGAATGCATGGATGGATGGGTGGTTTTGATGATGGACAGATGATAGATGTGTGTCTGATATGCTGCAGGAGTGCTTTCACTGACTTAGAGATAAAAACCTCAAAGAGGCTTAGAATCCATCGTATTTTATCTCAACGGAACTGTCAAGATAACAACAGCAAAGGCCAAAAACTGAACCAGATAATACAAATAAATGACAGCAGGAAGTGATAGGGCAACAGAATGCTTAGAATTAGTATTGTAAGTAGTCATTTGTATTAGAATGTTACAAATGAATGGTGATTAAGTAGGATTAGGACATAAACTAGAACTATGTAGACTGCTGTCTGCTTAGTTCTATATGGCAACAAACACACTAAGTGTCTATTAAAGGCTATTAGATATTTACTCTTGGGAGTTAATTAGTAATCATAATCCTGCTATCTTAAGCCTTTGTTTGGAAATGTTGAGAGTAACCTTTACCTCAGTAAAAAGTAAAGAAAAACATGTACTCATCATCCAAATATATTTGTGCAGCTTTCACCACATTTGTTGTCTCATGAAATCAGCACATGGCCTGAGTATTGAACTTTAATCATGTGTTGACATGTATGTGGTTATGACAGATAGGCTATTTAAGCGCTTTAAGCTATTTTCTGATTGCCAGTAAACTTTTCTGGCAATCAGAAAATAGCACTAAAAATTTCTCCTGCAAAGGTCAGACCACCTGCATGTTTAAAACAAAAATCTGTTTCTAATACACTTAAAGCGTTCACTGTAATCACCGTAAGTGATACTGCACTCATATTCTGAGCTGAAACTTGCAATACTTTGCAGCTCATTCCCACATTGGTCTTATTCAACCCGACACGGCCATGATTAAAACACAGTCACTGACACGAATGGGAAATAGATCTTAAAACAATGCCTGCTAATGGAAGCTGATGATTAATGGGTGATTGTCTAATCGATTAATATCCACCCTGAAAGGAGTTACAGCAAGGGGAGACTTCATTTCATGTGCTGCTGGTTTACAGACACCAAACTGCTTCAAGCTGATATGTGCTATTCTTCAACTGTCCCTGCCGTGTGCAGATCTTAGAAACGCATGTTTGCATGCCGCTATGTTGAATTTAATCACATTCCTTAGAAGCCACATGAACGTCTTTACCATGATGGCGCACAAGTGTGTATTCAGCAGCTCTCTTATCCCCTTGGTTGATTTATTTAAAAACTGATTAAATTCCACATTCAGCTCCATGCTGTGAGACTTTGATCCTCTGCTTAATGCCTGTACTTCTGCAGAGAAACGATTGCTGTTTTACTTAAGAACAAAGGGGCCATTTTATACGATAACCTAAAGTATTTCTGTTGCTTCAATGCATACAGAGCTGTCAGCATTTTTCTATATTGCATCAGTGTCAACATTCAGCAGTGCAGCTGGCATTCATGAAATGTTAAGCCCAGAGTATCAGTTACATGTATGGACAGTTAATCCCCAGACACCAGGGAGTTGTGTTGATGACTGAGTCTTCTTATCTCTGTCTTAGCTGCAACATTTCTGTTTGCAATAAAGATCTCCTCTCCCCGCTCCTTTACTCTCCTCTCAGGTTGGAGGACACACCATGCTACCTATTCGCTGGATGCCCCCAGAGAGCATCATGTACAGGAAGTTCTCCACGGAAAGCGATGTCTGGAGCTTTGGAGTCATTCTGTGGGAGATCTTTACCTATGGGAAGCAGCCTTGGTTTCAGCTGGGTAACAACGAGGTAAAAAGCGCCTGAAGCACGATAGATAAACCTTCACAAGATATAGCACACACACATATTATCAAAGGCTGAATTACAGAATCTCATGCACACACTGGAAATTATAGCTCCAGGTCATCTAGTGGTAAATGTGAAAGTCTACTTTTCCATTTCCAAACATCAAGTAGGGCAGCTTATTGCAAAGCACATCAAAATCTTTCCCCACATGTCGTCAGCGAGGGGGAAAGGCTGAAATCCCGAGTTTGCTAATAGCAGATTTAAATGACCACTGCTATTCTGGATCTTAATCTACTGCCTCGTGTTGTTTCTTCACTCTTTGGTGAGGTGATAAATTGATGCCCATGCCCACATTACATAACGCCCGTGAGCGGTCTGTTTTTTCATTGAAGTCTTTGCTTTAAATCAATAAAATTCAATTAGGATTACGCTTGTAGGGTAAGCCCAGGCATTACAATAGAATGGAAATATCAATAGAAGTGTCAATGTGCTTTTGGGCTTTATACAAATGTGATATTTTCATATTTTTCTGCATCTTGCGCAGAAGAAGTTTGCTAAATGAAACACTCGGCTGATTAAACTGTGATGAGATGAGTGCTTTATTATATCACAGCCAAAGAAGGTAAATTGTTTTCCAAATGTAATTTTGTATGTACAGATAGTACAGATGAAATTCTTGTACTTGTTATTCACTTATTCACATGCCTATTATTCAGTTGTTGTCATTGTTTAAGTCGTTGAAAAATTACTGCAATAATTATAAATGAGCATTAGTGACTCAGTGACAGTGGGTACTGTAGGAACATGTTTCAAACAGGTATCACACTTCTGGGCTCCACTGGCTCCACTATCATCCTCTACGGAGCTACACCGACCAGCTTATCTGCTTTTTTTTGTTTGATTGGTTGGTTTTTTGATATCTCTAAATACAGCAAAGAATAATATATGTACTCTATACAGAGAAATACATTCTTTAGCAGAGAGTGTGATGCATTTTCTGTGGCAGACATGTCTCAAACATTTATTCTGCTTAGTGCCCGTTAACCAAGACCCCTGTTTTAGTTTTATATGTGATAGCAAAATGGAATAGCAGGTTACCCCATGGTGTCATGGTCTGTGTGCAGGCAGGCAGGAAAAAGACCTGATATGCAGACTCACAGAGGCAGAACTCAGACTCAAAAACCACAGCTTTATTGCTGGCAAACACAAAACAAAACCTAAACTGGGAGAGCTAGAAATGGGGCATGAAAACAGAACACACAGGCTAGTACTAGAGACGACGCGACAATGAACGGGAACGCATGCAGACACTAAATACAGGTGGGGAACAGGGCAGAGAGCAAACACCTGGGAAACACGGCTGAAACTAATTACAAAGACGAGATTGGGAGGAAGCAAAATGGAATACGTTGACCTTCAAAGTAAAACAGGAAACAGACTGAGCACAGAACAAAACCTTAAAACTAGAATACAAAAAAAGAACTCAGAATACAAGAAGTCATATTCAAAGGAGAAATCATAGAATGACAACAATAATACACAAAACACTGGGTCTTCGACCATTAAATAAATGTTGGTGCTTGAATTTAAGTAAAAGCTGTAAGAAATATTTAATGTTCTGGGTACCATGTTTGGTATGATCTCTCCAGTTAAAATAATGAATATAAAATTTTTCGAAGAAAGAAGTTGGAAGGAAGCAGAAAACTAATACAAACCACTCCAGAACAAGGTGTTCACACATTGTTTCTCACTTCTCCAAAATCTCTATCATGGAAGTTGTGAGTGTAAAGCAGGGGTAGGCAACCTTTCTGATGGCGAGTGCCATTTAAAATTTCCCTCAGAGGTCAGTGTGCCATATGTTTGCATTAGCAATAAATTTAATAACGCTCTATATTAACAGTTACACACTATATAGAACCACTTTATAGAATTATATTTGTTTGCATATGTTGGCAGCTATCAGCGAATAGTTATCAGCTATTTTGAAACAAAAAAAGACACTTTTTATCCATAACAAGAACTCCATAACAGCAAATGGACTGTAAATGCTATTTATGGTCTCCTCACAAGAATGATAAGAAAAATAAACTAAGCCAATATGGCACGTTTGTTAATACAGAGACACACGAAAATAAACTCCACCTAAACTTGGTTTATATCTGACCCAGATAGACTTACCTGAAGTTCAGTTCACCTGACGCTCGGACCGGCGGCCACCTCGGGTCTCTCCTCGTCCTGCCTCCGATCTCCCTCATCCACGTGCTGGCCTCCATCACTTGTTCATTTTACTGAATCTGTGGAAGCTCCGCGATGCCACCACCAAACAACTGAGTTATTTTTACACACCGGCCAACATCTGGCCAATCCAACACCTTTCATTGTTTATACCGTTACAAAAAATAAATAAATAAATAAATAAATCATCGGGCCACCAAGCAAATGCCCGGTATGCCCAATGGCCAGTCCAGCTTTGGCTGTGGCATCAGTTAACCCTTGGCACGTGTGCCTAGTGTAAAGTTATCATGACCCACAGTAGATGCATTATTGGAAAATAAACCATAATTCTCATTTAATCTGCTATGCAGAAAGCAAAAGGTGAAAACTACACTGCGTGCTAAATTGATGGTCAAGGATATTATAGCCAACCTGCTCTGTTTCATGCAGCCTCTCTTGCCTTGGCCTATTAGCAGCAGCTGATCCCAGTCCAGCCTTATTACATCTGCCCTCACGCTGCTGCTTATCTGTCCTCTCAAGTTGCTTATTATGTGAGGGGGTTGGAGTTATGCTTTGTACTGCGATCAGAGACCCCAACTGTGATCATAGGGTGACTAATCACACCCTTGTTTTCACTTTCACTTGTCTATTAGTACATGTTATCATATTTGCAAGTATATGATGTATGTACGAAGGACGCGTGCTACAATCTGAATCTCAGATGGGAAGTGAGACTACTCTAGGCTCTAATTGAGTCCAAGTACTATGTCAAGGAAAAATAAAGGCTGTAAATCACCAAAGCCCTGCAGAATACATATTATCTATATTATCTAGCTTCACTCACCTGAACTGTAACAATAAGTGGTCAAACAAAAGTAGGCGTCAGCATAATAAGTCACATGAAAGGGTGCAAATAACCAACCAGAAACATTGACAGGTCTACTTACAACAGAGCAGCTGACTTGACAAACAAAGATAAAACTATACTATGGGAAGAGTTTAAACACTTAATACAGGCTGAAAACAACACAGCTGCTACAGCCAAAGCAGCAGATTGTGAATGTGTGTGGTCAGTAAGACTGGAGAAGACCTGATATATTAATAAAGTCTCGCTTATTTGAAGCCAGAGAGGGAAGCTGAGAAAAATGCTGACTGTGTAAGTTAACAGATTTATCGATATCACAGCTCTATCATTACGACGCAGAGGAACCTGATGGATTACAATTGTTATTCCATTAAATTAATGTAGCCCCCATGATGTTTAATAACATCAAACACAAGCTTAGTCTCTGTGCAAATTTAATAATAATAACTTTATGTGCATAGCGCTTTTAAAGCACACTTTTACAAAGTGCTTTATTTGAAATAAAAGCCGACACATGCAGACACATAGTTAACCATATGGTCTAAGTGTCATCACAGTATATACATGCATGTATTTATGTAAACTGTGGCCCAAATTAGTGGGCAAAATCCTTTTTTTCAGCAGATTTAGGCAACCTAATACGCTGAGGAGGACTGTTCCAAAGTTTAGGAGGTTGTGGTTTTTAAAATAGTGTGGATCAATAAAACAATCCTCATTTTTCTTTATCATTAACAACAAAAAACAGGGGGGAAAATAAAATCCAAATGCTAATAAAAAGGATAAGATAGACGGAGGGAAACGGAGGGAAAGGAACAAAATCAGAAATTAAAACCAAGAGACTAAACATGAGAAAGCTAAATAAAAGAGGAAGTAAAACAACAGAGAGACAAAACAGACTGAGGGTGTACTCACACTAAGCATGGTTGCCTCGTACCAACACCAAGTGTGTTTGTCCCATCTTCCCACTGCCTCGCTGTCCTCTGCTCAAACCGCTCTTTACATGCAGACCCAAGTACACTTCACTTTGTTTCAACATCTCAACTTCGCTTCAGAGAGCACAATGAGCTTCATGATTTTATGCATTTTGTAGCTTAATTGGAAGCGGTGACACACTGGCCTCTCACATGCGTTACAGATTTGCTATTTACATAACACAGTGATTTTTACAGGGCCAGTCACTGTCACTGAGGAAGCATTCGAATACCAATCACACTACTTGTGTACCGTGCTTGGGTCTAACTGAGCAAGGCTCATGTCTTCAGTTGGACCAGAGCACAGTTCACTTGACTGCAGCCGTGCACACACCAATCACATTACTGTTAGAAGTAGAACTGGTTTGGGGGATTAAACACCTTTACAGTGCGCCATAAAACTAAACATAACTGAGAGAAAAGAGAAAACCAGGAACGCAAAGAAAAAAAACTGTACCAACAAACAAATTAAGGACCCCAAAAACATGACATCCCCCCACCCCCTGCAGTGGCGCTATGCACCACAGTTAGAGAAGCACTGGGTGGATTTTCCAAAGCTACTGCTTGATTGTAGCGCTTGCGATTGTGGAATTATGCATAAAGGCTCCAGTCAGTCTTAAAGGTAGCCCGTCCGCATTTTAGAGACTCTTATCATCTGGGGATGAGACATGACAGACGGAATATAACAGAAAGTAAACAAACGGTAGAACAATAGATCAAGTGTGTCCCTCCTGTTTTGTTCTAATAACGTGTACTGCTGTCTTGAGTAAAGTAAAGTCACATTTATTTAAACACAGATCAAGTTTGTCATACGTTCCTTCCAGAAAATTAGGCTTTAGATATCAGTAGATTATCAAATCCTTTGTTCTGACACTGTTGTTATGCTGCAGACTTGCAAGAGCGTGAAATTGCATGACACCATAATATGCCTTACGGGGAAAGTTTCTGTTTTCCCTCTTCAGCTGTGTTGTTAATTTCTACGCCTTGAAAAGTGAAAACTTAAAAAAAGATGTTTGAGATAGTTTTGATTAGTACACAAGTGTGAAGTGTAAATAATGTTAAGAAATCACAGTTTTTCCATAACATGACCCCCCCCCCCCCCCCCCCCCAATTGTTTCACACAAATAGATTGCTATCCATTCTTTTAAAGTACAGTGCCCTGGAAAATGAAGCCAAATTATCACAACAGCAGTGAGTCATCTGGCTAATTAGTGCGCAAGCACAATAGAGAAAAGATCAATCAGCCTTTTAACAACATCTAAAACATCCCAGCCCCACCAAATAGTCAGTATTATTGTTAGTTTGTGCTGTGGGACAGAAAAAAAAAAGTCTTGTTTCCCTTTTATTATTGCCCAAATTTAGGATTGAATGTGTTCTGTTTATTTCTTTCATCTCAGTTTCATTAGTTCAAACCTCAAAGGACATTTCTGCTCAGTGTCACCGCTTTCTCATTATGAACAAACCAAAGCAATCAGTGAGTGAGAATCTCCTGTTTCACTCCACTGCCCTGTCTCCTCTGCAGGTCATTGAGTGCATAACCCAGGGTCGGGTTCTGGAGAGGCCACGGATTTGTCCTAAGGAGGTTTATGACATCATGCTAGGCTGCTGGCAGCGGGAACCACAGCAGCGACTGAACATTAAGGACATTCAGAAGGTCCTGTTCGCCATGGGAAAAGCCACGCCGGTCTACCTGGACATCCTGGGCTAGCAGTGGCCCGTGAGTGGCCTCGCCAGACGCAAAGATCGACAGAGACATACAGACAGAACGACCCACATGGATCCAGGAATAACCAAACCAACCTGCTTCACTGTCGAAAAAACACCTGCATTGTTTGGGAAGGACTTAAGTGCCTGCAACACTTTTGGATATAGTGGATAAAACGTATTCAAAAAACACGCACTTTTACATTTTGTTTACTTGTGTATAAGATGTACAGGTTTGAAGAAGACTTCTTTTTTTTTTTTTTTTTTTTCCTTGAAAAACTGCAAAAATACACAAAAATGGAGACCGAAAGGAAAGTGGACTGGCAGTAGGAAGGGGCCGCAATTTCATTATATTGTGGAGAGAAGACATCAGAGTTCAAATCTATCCTAGGTTTGGTTTTATGAATATATATAGAAATATTACATATATTTTATATTTATTTCTTTTTGTCAAGGTGTTGAAGGGTCTCCCATGTGTGTTGCTAAGGGCTTGGCCCTGTCTGAAGACGCCACCGACAAACTATTGGCAGGGACTTGACGTTGGAAGCCTTACTTGCACTCTGATTGGCTGGCTCTGAGCTCATAAAGGGAGCTCTTTGGAATAACACTGGATGGTTGGAAAATAGCAGCGCTCTGTAGAGGACCTACCCAATCAGACAACTGACAAATCTATTTTAATTTAAAGATAATGTACATATTGTAAAATTCTATGTGTCAGAATTATGTTAACTTATTTTTTCCGATGTTACTTTGATTCCTTTTCTGACTGTGATCTGGGTGGCTAAAGTATAAAGCTATGGTATTTGTTTTCATCCTAATCCAGAGGAGATTTCCTTGGGAATTACTCGTGTCAGTGCTGGTTGTCTAATGTGGTGAAGGTGAATGCCAGTGAATACAATGCGAAAAGCCCACTGACACCGAATCAAAGAGACTTTGGCGAACGTGGGATGACTCAGAGCCATGGTTCAACATGACACTTTCCAAAGAGGTGATGAAACCTCAGATTCACGTTCCTTTTCATTTGCTTTTTATGGCAAGAATTATAAGTTGGTTAGTAATATCTCACGCCTCAGCCCTCAAATACACATACACACGCTTTGTCATATTCAAGCTTTTTGATGTAAAACTGCTTAAAAAAACAGCGTTTTTGTAGCTTTGAGTGTATTCTTCATTTGTGAGTCGCGGGGTTGTTGTCTTGAATTAAACAGCCTATTGTATGTGTTAAAGGAACTATTTGACATTTTGACCAATATGATTGCTTTCTTGCTGAGAGTTATAACAAATGCAGCTTTTATATCTTATTTTTTAATATGTGGCTACAGGTTTCAGCACATAGTCAGCTCAGCTTAGTAAAAAAAGCATCAGCTAGTTAAGCTTTTTTTTTTTTTTAAACTTGTTGAAAAGCACATTGACATTTTAACTAACACGTATATTTATCCTGATAGAGCTTATATGTAGCTTTGTGAATAATAAGTAATGTTTTAACTGAAAAATAATTATATAAAAAGCTTTTTCTTTTAAATCGAATATTATTAATTCAGTTTCTGTTCTGCTCTGAATTTTATTGTTAGGCCTATTTCAGATTTTTTTTTATTCAATCATGAAATTGTAATGGAAAACCTGCCAAGTAATTTTTATGTCCCAATTTAAGCCAAATATACCCAAAACTGCTACTGATTTACGAAAAGGAAAAAACTGCTAGAGTGAGTAGCCAATAAGAAACAATTAAAACGGTGAACCCCAAACGTCAGACCACTCACACTCAGATTAAAATGTTAAAATCTTATGCATGATCACATCTCTGGTCATTACACAAGTAGAACATTCAACATTTCATTTCCATTTTCATGGATAACTTTTGATATTTGTTGAACGTTATTCTCCATAAACAGCTTCATTTTCAAAATTAAGTTCTTTCAACTAATAAGATATAAGAAGCATCCAGGATTAGAAAGAGGTCAGAAATGAAGAATAATAGCAAACCCAAGTTTTAAAAAAATCCTTAACAAATTCAAAAGAAAAACTTTAATAGAAAAATCAACTTGAGTTTGTCACCAATCCCTTAGATTAAAACCAGAAGGATTATTATTTGAGTTAGCCTATATAACAGCACTTTATCGGATAAGTTTATAGAGTAGGATTAAGTACTTTGTCCACATGTAAACACCCTGGAAGCTGTTTTTCACAAACTCAATTCTCCTAAAATTGCCATTTAGAAAACACATCCAGTATCTTTACGGTCGATACTTTGTGAATCCAGTGATTAGACCTATTTTTTATGCTTTTAACGATAAATTTAGTTGTTTAGCTTATTTACATATTAACATATTAAGTATGTTCAACATTCATGTTATAGCTGCAAAAACAGATTTTTTTTAAAGAGTCAGTTAAAGCCATAGCTAGAGTTTTGATTGATAAACATCAGTACTTTTGAAGACTTTACAAACTTGAAAATGTAAGTAATAGCCATGCTGCTTTGCTAGTAAATTTCTGTAGACTGTACCAATGTTCCTTACATTGTAACAAATTTTAAAATTTAAGCTCAAAAGGTTTTAACATATGTGTCATAAAATGTGACACATTTCTCAAAAATACAGTTCGGTGGAATAAGCTAATTGGGTAAGCTACACTGGACATGGAGGGTTAGCTAGCTTTGGTTTCTTATGTCTTGATTGTGTTAAACTGAGGTTACTGGCCAACTTTCTTTCTCCCCACACTGAAGTGCATTTTCAGATGTTGGGAAGCTAATTTTGTTGCAAACAGCTATTCCCTATTTCCAGCGTTTGAGCCAGGCGAAACTCACAAGCTGTTGGTGCTAGCTATACATTGTCAATGCCGATATGAGAGCTGCATTGATCTTATCATCTAACGCTCAGCAAGAAAGCAAAATAGGATATTTTCCCCAATGTAGACCTCTTATTTTAAAGTATTATAGGTTGATGTCCTCAGGATCCTATCACTATACACGCTGTTAAAAGAAACACATTGCATTTTTATTACTATTATCATGATTTCTCTTCCATCAGCTGCACAAGAATGATGTTGGCTGATTAGAAAAACACTCCTGTTACAATTACAGAGACGTGGCTGCAGCAGGCGGATACTTGTCTTAATTTTTGGGCTGTACACAAAAAATAATAACCACTGAAGTGGGTCAGCTAATTGTGTGGTATCATTGCAGTTTTTAAAAATAATTACAGTATTAACTTAAAGAGAAATATGAAGAGTTTTGTTCTAAAATCCAATTCGACTCAAAACCTACAACCAAATAGATATTACTTTTGAAAAATCTCATAATTAAGTGCTCAGTTGGCAAAATGAGTTATTTCTTTCAGAGTGGATCCTGAAGCATTCTCACACACTGAATGATAAACCTCAGGCAACTATTTTATTTCATGTTGTATCTGGATATAGAGTGGTTTACAAAGGAGCTCTTCACATCTCTTCCTTATTATCTTGACATGAATTCTCACAGTATCACAATGTTGTCTCTGTTTCCCTTGGGACTGTGTAAATCATTAATGAGCATTTGGTTATTTCGAGTATTTTGTATGAAAGGCGAGATCCAGTCCATTGAGTTACCCAAAGCATTGAGTTTTTGTGTATTCTCTTGTGGTAAAGATAAACGCTTAAAGACATTATGACACAGACCGTGAGCGTTTGCAGGGTATTGTAATCCTTTCATGGTGAGTTGAATATTCTTTAAAAAGTCTTTTTTTTTTTTCTTGGATGAACTAACTGAACACTTTTTGAAGCAAAGTTGGCATATTACCATGTACACATGTTACAGAATATTAAAATGTGGTATAACATCTACAGTATATAAAATACTGGTATTCCATGATAGATCTTTGTATTAATGTGACTCTCTTAAGAAAATGTCTTCAAACAATCAGACGATCTCTTTTTCCATTTTGTCCTGTCTTATAAAGATGTGTGAATTTGACTAAATCTTGTCTTCATCTAAATCTCTCACAAAGCTGAACAGCATGGGTTCAGTGTATGTCTGTGTTGTCTTCTCCTCTTCTATCCATTGTTGATGTGATAGAAGTGATAGAAATATGTCTTTTTCTCAGGTAGTTTGGTATTTCTAAAGGTACATAGTTTATATCCTTGGATACTACAGGATGAGTCCAAGGGGAAACCTATTCTTCTGAAAAATGAAGCCAATGCTGTTTATCTAAGGCCCACTGAGGCTTTTCCATAGACTCCCATGTTAAAATGTCCAACTTTACAACAGGGAAAAAAAAAACCCACATGTTTACAGCCTGGTACAAAAATCAGTTTTTTATTTATTGAGTTTATTTTCCTTTTCATGACAACTTAACAGGAGGTACATTTCATTTCATATATTTTATTTTGTGCTACAACATCGTAGGGATAACCAAAATTATTGCAACTGTGTGCAATGAACTTGGGAATTGATTGCCTTTGAAATAGTGGCTCCAAAGATAGGGACCAGGTCTGCAACCACTCGCAGTCAGTTGCTGTCAGAGCAACTCTGATGTGTCAAGAGGATAGTAATAAGACAGAGTCATTCTGTAATCAGTCAACTAGATTCCACTGAATAAAACCAGGCAATTACATACAATCTGACAATTAACTGACAAACTAGTAAAAATCACAAATTCTTTTCCCATCTGTTGTAAACCAGTTTCAATCTACATACACAAACATTCATATTAAACAGTAATTCACATTAAAGACTTAGTGTACATTCAGCCAGATTGACATCGATTTGAAACAGGGACTCAGAAATACCTCCACAACATATTTGCTGCAGGACTGCAATTTCACTGCAGAATAACACAGGCCTTGGCAACCTTGCTTTTATATAGGAATATAATTAGAATCTAACCAGTTGACAACCTGACAGTTATTTGCAGACAAGTTGTGCTCATTGATCAGCTCTGATTGATTCCAGCATATTGGCAATCAGGTTTGTAAATTAGATGGCATTTATTTCAGTCACCTTAAATACTTGCAATCAGTTGCCAAATGAGAAAAGAAATTCAATGCAGTCACTAGGCAACCATCAGTTAGTTGCAAGGAGGTTGGTATCCTATTTTAACTCTGGTGTGACTGAGCATTTTATAATTATTTAATAATTAAACTTAATAATAATTTAATGATTTTCTGAATCAACGTGAACGTGATCAACATGAGCACAAACATTATGGATAGTAAGAAAATTTTCATCAAAATATGCACCAACAGAGCCAAACTTAAGTTTAAGCCTTAACTTATATTAAGGTTAGAGGTCACCATAGAGACCAGCTTGGACGTTTTAACAGGGAGTCTATGAGGATTGACTAATTTGGGGGTTAGCCTCATGTGTCAGTTTGACGAACTGTGTTGGCTTAGTTTTTCTGCTGATTGCTCTAAATGAAAGTGGTTACGTGGTTAATGTGATGGGTTATTAAGAGCATGGCTGCTTTGAGTGACAAGTAGGTCCTAACACCAACACTAGCTGTCTGCTAAGCTTTACCTTCACTAATTCCAGTCACTGAATTAGACCTCTCAACATTTGGTATGTTTGTTGGTGACTTTTGGAATATTTTAATGCAATTATCTAGGATTACACTATTATTAATTATACTAACAGCCTCTCCAAGAATTCTGTGCTCTAGTTTTGGTGAGAAATGGGAATTCACAAAATGACACAAAGGTTGAAAATATGTCGACTTCATTGTCAATTCTAAAGCTGTGTTGGTTTACACAGTAACCAGTAACCCTATAAAATATCTTAATGTAAGTACATACATATATAGAGAGAGAGATAGATATAGATAGATACACACACACACACACACACATACTGGCTGTTTTCAAACTCAAAGTTTCAGTTTTAGGTATTATGCTGAAAAAGCCTTTACAGTCCAATTACTTCCTGAAGTCAGTGGCATACAGACATCAGACATCAGCCGATCCTTGTATTTTCCATGGTGATGCTCTTGCAGCCTTCACTGCCGACACCTACAGCTTCTGCCTGCTGTGGAGTGTCTCTGACTTTAAGGAAGGGAATGAATGCATCTTTATCAGACTGAGATCAAGCAGCTGATATCAATGGAGTATAGTCCAGCTCTTCACCCTGAAGAACTCAAGTTGAAAAGATCTGGCTGATAGATGAAATGTCATGCAGTGAATTTTCAGCCATACATGCCCAAAGCCATAACACACACACACACACACAAGCACGTTTAAAAAAAGCTGGTGGTGCGCTGGGCCATAAACTGCTTCTTTCTTTTCCTCCATTCATTTCAGCACTTTGCAAGATGTTGATCTTCACCGCTCTCTAGAAGTCTGAAAGTTTCTTTCTTTATTTGTGAGTTCTCAATTTATTGATGTTTATCAGAGTTTGCATCTTGTACTGAGTCCTTGGAGGTTCCACTCATGAAATCTTGACAGTTCACAGGGAAACATTTTTGCCAGTAACCTGGAGAGCTTTGATAGCTGGCTCTTCACTTGTATAGGATTTGGGGTTTTTTTTCTCTTGAACATTTAAGATGATTTTGAACCTATTCTTGACTTCAAGCTTGTTTTCCATTTTCTGCATTTTTCTTAGATTATTTTTTAAAATGAGCCGAAATGTTGCTACTTTTGATAACACTCTAAAATTTTTGAGCCCCATAATTTCTTTCTTCTTGTGTGGTCAACTTATGTAAGCTTTAAATTATGAGCTGATGGCAGATTCCAATTAGCAAGGGCTTGAAAGAGCCACACCTCCCACACAGTTCTTTCACCCTACTCAAAACAAAGGTGAGATCTGGCAATCTAGCATCATTTTACTTTAAAATTAAGCGACCTGAAGCACTGCCTGACCTCAGAGCTCATCATGGCTCTGAGGTCATGATGAGCTAAAACTGTTAATCTCAAACATATTTAGTTCCTCCCTTCTTCATCAGGTCAACCTTACATGTAGAGAAGAACATTTAAGACACTAATGCCAAAAGCTATGACCCCTTTCAACTTTTCAATCTTATCCTACAACACAGATATGCCACAACTCTAAATAAACAGGTGAAGTGAATAAGTGAATAATATTGATCATATATTTCAATGCAATCTGTTTCTGGAAAGCAACAGATGCAAGCAGTCAAATTAATATTACCATCCACATGAATATTGCTGCAGATCTGCACACATGGAAAAACTTCCGTTTCCTAGTGGTTTTAAACCTCGAGTCTCTGTTGGCAAGTGTCCACATTAAATGACAGTGGTTTCCAGTATTGTTTTAGCCATATGTGTGCAAACAAGAAGAAAGCTGAGACACAGGCAGCGCCCAGGGATTTGAGGTCAGTAAGCAGTGTGTTATGACGATGGTACTATAATTGTGTATTGATTTACAATTACAAAGTGTTTTGTGTGCTAGGATTCAGTGTGTGTGTGCATGTGTACTCATACTGAGGTTTGGGTTTTCTGGCTGTTGCCCAACATCAGCTTGAGGAAAAGTACCACAAGTATGACACAGTACATTTTTCTTAGTAATTAAGTTTAGAAGAGTTGAATGTTTTTCTAAGTTTTAGATAACTGTGTTAGATTTCAACTGAGAGCAAGAGCATAAGTGTCAGTTAACTTGCTGCACAAAGGTCCATTACAGGTTGTCTGCAGCTTTAATGCTGGAAATATAAAAACACCTGCATGAAAATATTGCTCTTGTAAATGTAAATGATGGAAGTTTAATTTTATTTCATCTGGCCGCTCTTGAACTATGACACCAGAACTGTGTTTTCAAATGTTTAGTGTCAAACAGCTAGCGGGGTTACATAAAGGAAGCATTATCTGTACACATGCTGATAAGAATTTTATTTTCCTGCTCAGTGAAAAAAGCCTAACAATATGAGTCACATATACAGAGAGCGAACAGTTGAATGCATGGCACACCTTTAGAATTATTCACAGTAATGATATTAATGCTATAGCTATGTAAAATAATAATAACAATACTAATTACACTGATAACAATAATATTATCAGTAACATTACTGTAGTAAGGTAGTAAGGGAGTCTGTAACCATAAATGTAGAGAAGCAATAACAAAATAACAATTACACGGTTATTTTGATCACATTTACATTATTGAATGATTGATCTGTTGTTATAGATCAACTTAGATTTCATATAGAAATATAAAAGAAAACAATATAGCTTTAATCGGTGTCAATACATGAATACTGAAGATAAGCCTTTAGTTGATGCAAAAATTTATTTCAATTTAACTGTTAAAAACCTTAAAAACACCAACCGAATGAGTAAAAGAGGAGAACACACTCAGATGCTTCTAAGGCAAAATCACTGTCTGTTTTACTGCAACCCAATCAGGTCTTGCTTTTTTATGGACATATGTACTATACATGTGCATATTTACAATTAATATTTCAGCTCACTAAATGCAAATGAACTTTTCCTTTATTATATGCTATCAATTTAAAAGCAAGTAAAGTCTGGAGAAGGAAATTATTCTTCTAATAATAATGAATATAATTGATAAAGAAATATAACATTCTTTAAAACCTTTAGTGCCTAATCACTTCAATTTGGATTCAATTTTTTTAATTCACACATTTCTATTCAGCTCTATGTAGACATGTTTAAAAGAGCTGAAGAAGACTTTCAGATTAGGGTGAAATATTTTGAAGAATCTAAACAAGCCCAGTTGCCTTTTTCTCAAGCACTTTAAACCACCAAGAATTGGATGAGAAGGAACGTCTGCAGACATAAGCAAACACACACAAACAAAAATTTATTACTGTTTGAATAATCTTGCATAAAACAGAGACACTGCTTTTGTCTCCACAATTTCTCATAGAATCAATTCTATGTTAAGTATTTTGTTAAGTATTATATAAAAGTGATGACAGATATCATGTTACGTTCATTGGTAGATTAAAATAT